CAAAGTTGATTTTTGATTTTTAGATTATAACATTATATTGATTTTTGATTTATTTGATATTATTTTGAAAGTAGAAGATTTCTACTATAAATAAGCTATACTTTTTATTTTATTTCTTTTATTATTTTTGAGAGTAGAAGATCTCTATTATAAATAAGCTATATCTTTTATTTGTTTAGTTATTTAGTTTTTGTATTTTAGTTTATATCTTTACCTTAGTTATAACCTTCTTTAATTAATAGCTTGCTATTTAATTAATTTAAAATCTTGAATTATATTGATTATTAATGGCTTTACTCAGTTAATCTTTATAATTTCTTTGATTTATTTATTCCTTTTTTTATTTTATTACCCTTTTTAAGACAATATCCATAGATATTGGCACAGACCTTAGAAATCTTTGTTATTATTGAAAGCTATAGTCTAATTTTCCTCTTGTTATCTTTAATTATTTCAATCTCTCCCAACCTTATATCATTAAGATGAATTAAAGTGAAATCTACTTATTAATTTGCTGTAATAATATAAATATTTATTTTTATATAATAAATATTAAATTTTCAATTATAAATAAAATTTAAAGTATTATAACTTTTTAAAATTATAATTAATAAAAATTTGCTTTAATAAAATTATAGCTTAGAAAAAAATAATAAATTTATAATAGAAATTTTTATTAAAATTATTTATTTTTAAATTATAATACTTTTTATATTATATATAAATATTAGATATCTTATACTATTTTTACTATAGTAAAAATTAATATATTAGAAAGATTTTCTTACTTTAATAGTATAATAAAAATTTTTTATTTTTTTTATATTATCATTTCTTTAACTCTTTTCTTAATATTATATTTAAAATATTTTTGATTGAATTAAGATCAAAACTATAGATAGTTATTATAAAATATGATCCTAAAGCTTTATTTCAAGATTATTACAAATATCTCTTAAGATATATTTAGAATTATTATTATGCTAAAAGATCTAGTACTAATATTTATATATATTATTTAAATTAAAATATAAATAATTATTAAGAATTCAATTTTTTTACAAATAGAAATTATACTCTATATTTAAAGCTTAAATGGATATTTAATTATTAATACTACAGATTTGCTAATATATAACTATGCCAAGCAGATATTTTGAAATAATTATAGCATTGTTTTATCAAAAAATACAAGTTGTAATAGCAATGATCATGTGTTCATTAAAATCAAATCTTCTTAGCATTTTGAGTGAGAAGAGGGACACATCTAGACAGGTTAGCAATATAACCAAGCCTAGAAAGCTCATATTGAATAGTTCTTCATTAATCTTTAGGTTTGGATTAGTTTTCTTAGCTATACCTCTATTTTACTTGCTGTAAAAATGATTTCTGTTTACTATTTTGCCAATTTGGCATTGCTGGGAAGGAAGAAATTATGCAGATGGCCAGAATGATAAATCTCTGAAATTTGACCATCCTTTTGAAGTTGAGCAACATAATGCTCAAAAGAGCGAAGAGGAACACCAGTTTTTTGAGAGATTTCTTTGACACTTCGATAACCATTTTGCTAAAAGTTCTTCACAAGTTCACAGTTAGTTTTTATAGAGTTATGATCCATTTTAAAGTTTGTTTACAAAAGACAGAGTCATGTTTTCATGACGAAATAAATATTAGTGATTATGTTACTCATAATTTACATTATAAACAAAAATATAGAACCAGAAAAGGCTGTGCAGAACAAAATTTAGAAAATGTCACCGTTATTACTTTTGACGGGGACTGTAATTCAATTAAACTTGATAATTTTAGATTACTTGAAATCAGGAACCCGTGGGTCAGTTCGAATGGAAAGGTAAATAATTTAGAAAATCAAGCTTTTGTTTATTGTTAGTTTTATTAGAAAATCACTTATAGACATTTAATAGGTAGTTGGAAAGATCATGGCACAGAGTGGAAACCCGAATAACTCAAAATTTTAAAGATGACGGTTCGTTCTTTATGGAGTATGATGATTTCCTCAAGCACTTTCAAGCAGTCGATGAATGCGAATTCTATCGTGATCAGTAACGCGTCTATTCTCACTGGATAAAATGGACGGATTAATTAGAAATAATCCAAAGTTCACTGTTGAACTTAAAGATCCCGAGTATGGATGGAAGATTATGCTTCAACAGCCAGGCCTGCGTTATTCTGGAAAAAACTACAATAAAACTGGGCAACAAATGGCTGGCATGTTTTATTTCATCATGTTCTATTGCTGTTAATAATTTGATACTATAACCAGTTTTAATCTGAAGTCAATTTAATCGACACCAAAACCAAAATGGCCATCTCCGGAAAATTGCGATCAATCTCAGCATTCGCTTCCTGCAGGTATTTATCAAATTATCCCTGATCCACAAAAGTTCGAAATATGGAATGGAATAAAGAACTGACCAAAGATGATTGCTTGGTTAAGAATTTTATATGGGAATTAATATTAACTTAGGAGTAAACTAGCGTGTTGAATCTATATTTCATTTCTTCTAACATTTTATGCAGGCAGTAAAGTTACTTGACATGCTTTATCGTTATACGTGAACAACTCAACTTAGATGTTAAAAATTTCCTTATAGAGTAACAATATAACTTTTAAATCTTATGTAATCATATGCTTTATATCAATATAAGATACATTATATGTATTCACATCTTTACATTGTCTAACCGCTTTCAATCTTAGCTTTTAGTTTCTCTAATGCAGATTCTGCATCTGGTCTGTTAGTCTCTCTAAAATATCTCTCGGCATCCTTAATATCGATTGGTACATCATGTTCGCCATTTAGTAAAATATCAGCATACCAAAACAATGCATTCTTATCACGTGCTTTTACGGCCTTTTCTAAGTATTCAAGTCCATTCAAACACGTCCGCGCGTACAAATATTGCGCTGCGGCAGTATAAGTACCAACTGGCAGATCATCAGAAACCTGCCGTAAATATTTTATAGCATCAAGTTCATCTTGAAGCACACCCTCTTGTCCATCAAGAAGGTACCAACCAAGTAGATATCTTGCTTGATTTGCTTCGGCCCTTCTTTTCTTACGTATTATTCGAAAGCTTCCGCGTATAGATTCGTACTATGATGTTGCATTACTTCTCTCCAACTCGGTAATTCATTGTTCTCAGTACTAAAATTATGCCTATTGTCAAACTGAAGCTAAGCATTAGGAAAGGTTTTTTCATCTTCGTCGTCAAGTGGACCTATTACTGATAATAAAGGTGATGGTACAGTAGATATAATAACACGAAAAGCTTCGTCATGCGGTTTGTGCGCTCCGGATATTTTAAGTTGCCTTGCGCATATTGCGCACTTGTATATCCAATAGAATTTCAAGTTCATCACGAACTATATCTATGGTTAGTCGAAGACGAGGGTTTTTATAACAAGAAGAATCCATTAAATGTTTATATTCTGAATCCAAGTCGGCTGGAACCGTAAGGCGTTTTTCAGGAGAAATTTTTACCTTATCTTCAGAGTTATCAGCAAAAAATGGTGTTTGAGGTGAAGCGATTCCGCCATTAAAATACCAAAGCTATAAATTAATACTACATCAATATGTTGACTACTATTTTAACAGTTTATAATTCTATCTTCACCTATACACTTTCATCGCTTTTGAATATGGGAATATTATAAGTTCCGGCTATGATTCATTATCATAAAATTTTGATTACATGACGGTTTCTATTTTAAAAAAATCAATATATTAATACACAATAATCCAAAAACAGTGAGTTTCGGGTTTAATTTTCGTCTAATAATATGTGTTCGCTATACATATATAAAAATAAAAATGATATTTACGCATTTAACTTTCTGGTATGGAACAAAACATTAAACATAAGTTACCTCGATAAATCATTGTATAAAATTTCTGCATTGTGGGAAAAATATTAGACCAGATGCAATTCCTTCGGCTAATTTGAGCTTTATAGTCCATGAAATATTTTTAAATACTTTTGAAGATTATTTTTGATCCATTCATTGATTACATATAATTCATTATGGATTTCAAGTGTATTGTAATTATTTTATTAATGGTTCTAAAGGCCAATAGCTTCAACTTACTATTTTTCAATATGATCATTCCTTAATAACAATTTGATAATATCCAAATATTTTTGAACGTTATCCAAATTGGTAGCAATTTTTCCTAAAAACAATTAGTTTTCTATCATAAGTTCCATTTTTAATCTTCTAGTTATATCAACACGATATTATTTTTTAAAAAGACCTAATGATATAGTAACAGTGGTGTTGTTGTCTTTCGTATTCAAAGGGTTTTTTATAAATAGCGTTCTTTTACCGTCAAAACTATATTTTGAGATGCTGTCAAACAATTCTTTTTTTTTTCTTTATTAACTCATCAAAAACCTTCCGCTTTGTATCCGCCAATACGTTATCGTTACCCTTTGATATTTCTATTACACATTTGAACCAGTTAAGTTTTTCAGTATTCAAATCCTTAAGCTTTATAGCGGTCGTCTTGACCAACATCTTCAATTTTAACGCCCTTTGAAAGTAACATTATTGAAATTAAGGTATCAATGTCGTCCTGACGCGAATTGGCAATGCTATTATTTTCTTACTTCACTTCATCTGAATAAATTGCCATTTTTATTTTCTTGCCTAAATCTTTGTGGGTATTGCAAGAGCTAGTAAAAAATGGTTAGTTTTCGATTATCCAATCCTTTTGATAAAAATACATGCATTATTAGGTTTAGCTGCATTAATCAAACGACCGAGAGCTGTTTGACTGAAACTTGCAAGTTTTCTAACTTCCTTTACATATTCAGAAACTTCTCGTAATAGTTTTATGTAATTCTCTATCGCTTCGTCTTTTTCCTCATTTGAAACACTCGAATATAATCCATGCCAGAATTTAATTATGTCAGTTAAGTTCTGGCACACTTCTTAATAATAGTCAGCTATGTCACCTAACAAGACTAGAGCTCTGCTAAACTCTTGTGCATATTGTAAAAGACCCGTTGAAAGTTTGCTGTTACAACTGACGGGAAGGAAAAAATTTAGAAACTATTGTCGTTTTTCTAAAACTAAAGGTTAACACCATACAGCAATGACACGTTACTTCAGATTAAACAGAACAAAAAGAGATGCATAATTAATTGTCACACTGTTACACTGTCAATGTAACAATGTGCTATACATGTATTATGGTTGGTTTAACGATAACCCTTCTTATCGTTATTATTGTCTTTTATTCTGTGTCAAGTACATGTACATGTACTGTACATGGGAGTGTAACACTCTCATTTACAAAGAGGAAAAAAAGAGTTTGGTATTATGTACAACATTCATTCCAATATTGTAAAGATTTAATAGATTTAATACTGTTAGTGAAAGAAAAAACTTGTATAAATATAATTAATGGGTGGATAAAGTTCGCTATAGAAAAAATTCATATATTTTCATATGGCTGGTGGAATGCTACCGTTTGCAGCAACCGCTTGCGCAGTGGCAAGTGAAATTATAGAAATGATAGAGAATGCTCAACGTCACAAAAAACTATGTCAACAAATATCGTACAGACTTGAAAGAACAACGGCAAGAATACAAGAAATTCCACCATCAACTGATGTGGGTATTAAGCTCCAGCTTTCATATCAAAATTACAAAATTATTGTAGATGAAGTTGCTCAATATGTTAGAGAATTAGTTAAACCAGGAACTTTTAGTGAAAAATTTAAAAGAAAAATCGAACACATGTTAAAGTCGAAAGATGTAAGTTTAATAGCATATATACAATATAAGTATATACTTGAACTTCGCGAGAATAAATGCTAATCAATTCACAGTCGTTAGAATATCATGCTGATTTGCTTGCGCGATTAGATGCAGCAATTCAGGATCTGGAGTTAGATTACATTCAAGTGGTGCATAAAAAAGAAATCGAATTAGACCTTCTCCTCAAAAAAGGTGAGGATGATGCTAAATTAGCATTGTTAACAAAAGGCGATGATTTCCAAGACCTTCTCATCAAAAAAAGTGAGGATGATGCTAAATTAGTTCTCCTCCTCAAAAAAAGTGAGGATGATGCTAAATTAGCATGGTTAACAAAAGACATAGACAAATTCGTGGACATAGACAAATTCGTGGACAAAATAGACCTTCTCATCAAAAAAAGTAATGATGATGCTAAATTAGCATTGTTATCAAAAAGCGGTGATTTTCAAGAAGAACAAACCTACCTCGATCCGACAGAAATTGAAGATGATGATGAACCTATCATCAGAGGGACAAGTAAAAAAATTGAAAAAAAATTGTTCAATGGGGACACTGAGGTAGCTGTAATTAAAGTGCAGGTTAAAAATGATCAAGAGAACCGAGCTGTGCGACAAGCAATGATACTTAAATTATTGGGAAAATGTAAAAACATAGAACGCTTTTAAGTAAATAAGCATACATGTGCTATAATATTTAAATATGTAAAAAATTTTAATTAAAGTTGAATATCTATTAGTCATGGTCTGATGAAAAAAGATGGAGAATTATATATTGTGACTGAATGGGCTTTGAACTATGATCTCGAGCAGTATCTTCGTTCAGACGCAGAAATTACATGGCGACAAAAACTAAAGTTTGCAGAAGGCATCGCAGCTGCTCTCAGATATTGCCATGAAGCTGATATTTTTCATCACAATGTTAAAAGGTAATTTAAAAGATTATTAGACATATATCAAATAAACAAGATTAATGAAATAATCATTTTGACATTATTGATATTTATATTATCAAATATAGTAAGAATGTATTATTAGACGAATACTTTAATGTGAAGCTTAGCAATTTTGATATGGCACGCTTCGCTAGCGACTCAACGACATCATTAACGGGTCAAATGAAGAGTATTAGGTAAAGCAATATATTTATTTTAAAACAGCAAAATTGATCCTTAATTATTTCAAAAATCAAAATAGATGGACTGCGCCCGAAAAATTAAGTGAAACTTATGTTCCCTACACTAAAGAAATGGATATATATAGGTAAGAATAATACTGGTTTAATTTTATGATATTTTTATCATCATTATTGCTTAACAATTTTTCTACCTAAAGTTTTGGAATAGTAATGTGGGAAATTGTAGTAAGAAAAGAGCCATTTTACCAATACACAAACAATATTGAAGTTTCCGAGAGGATCAAAAACGGCGAACGTCCATCACCAATCCCGAACGATATTTTGCCAGAATACAAAAGAGTAATGGAAGGGTGTTGGACTCAATCTTTCCGTCGTCGTCCTCCTATACATGCTACATCTCATGAATTGCACAATCTTTCGAAGAAATTTAAAAATATTTTTTACAGCGATACCGGCTCAATCACACGTGAAATACTTCCAGCAAATGGTATGTCACTTTTGTATTTATGCATTTGACTTTGACTCGAATATTAGATTGTTATTTATACCGATAATTATTATTCTTTAATAGAAAAATTCGACTTTAATGCTCCCATCACTGAAGAGAAGGAGGATAAATCACATACTCTGCCACCATGGAAAGATGTCACTGCGGCTCTTAATAAAAGAAACTACAAAGAGGCAATAGAAGGATTGGAACTATATGCTAAAAGTAACGCGCCTGAGGCATATTTGGCCAGATATTATGCTGGCAAACTACTATACGAAGGACATGATGGTGTGGCCAAAGATGAATTTCAGGCTTGTGTTTACTTACGTGAAGCCGCAGATCATTCACCACCTAGTAACGTCACTCCCTTGGCTCAATATTTATATGCGGATTTGTGTCTAAGGGGTGCTCTATATGATCAACAAAATGGTATGAGGTATTTGAAGATGGCCGTACGAGCAAACGAGAAGAATGCTCTATTTTTATATGGTACTATTTTGTTGAACGGTGAACATGGAGAGCAGATCCATATTGGTAAAGCGGAAGAAGTGTTTAAATTAGCAAGGAGTCGTGGCAATGAAAAAGCGGGTGAGATATTAAAAAAATTGGAGGAGGCGAAAGCTCAAGCGAAAAAAGCACAGGGATAAATGAATTGTAACTTTCAGAAGTACTATTTATATTTATTTATTTATTTGATTGTTGATTATATGTTTTGTGGTGCAGTTATATAATCACAGGTTGTATAAATAGGACAATGAGTATTAACGCTATCTTATAAAACTACATTATAACGAGTGAATATCAACTATCTAAATTAAAGTTAGCTAAGAGTTTATTTAGCGCATGTAAATAATATTTTATATCAAGTGATATGACTATATAAATGTATTTTAATTTATATATTACGTCTCGTAAATCGCGATCTATAGATCTATTTTTTTTACAAATACAATAAATAGATTTAAATTAAGTATAATTTCATAAAAACTTTAGTTACTAAATTATTAGACTTGAGTTTCTTTTTTTTTAACATTAGCAATAAGATTCATTTTTTGAAATAATTTTTAGATATTATAATCTAATAAGATATTTAAAAAATAAAAGTTATCCTATAGAATATATTAAAGAATAATAAAACAATAATAATTAAATATTTTTAATAATTAATAGCTTATTATATAAAAATAATTAATAAAAAAAACTTATAAATTCACTTTGAGATTAAAAGAAAATAAAATAAAAGTAATAATAATTAGCTTATACTTAGATTTACTATTATAAGCTATTTAAGAAGATAAATTTTATTTAAATTATAGCTTATAATAATGAGTTGAAATATATACTGAATTATTTATAATATTAAGTAAGATTAAAGTTATTCTATCAATATTTATAAGTATTATTTTGAATAAAAAAAGATGTGATCATGAAATATAAAAAGATATCAAAATTAAATTACAAATTAAATACTAAATTTATAAACCTAAAAATTAAGTATACTAACTTAACTCTCTTTTAATATCTTTTTAATTTGAAATGTAAAAACTAAACAAGAGAAGTATATATCAAAAAACTTTTTATCACTTAGATAAAACTTGTAAATCTTTTAATTAAATGAAATAAAAGGATATGATTTATTTAAAGTTGAGATCTTTAACTATTAATATTTTTAAACGACAAGAAAAGTAAGTATTAATCAGATATAATCTATTATAATTAAAAAAATAAATAAAAGTAATAATTAAATTAGAACTTTTAAATATATTTATTTTAAGTTTTTAAGCTAAAATATTTTTATATAATTGAGATTATATAGAATTTTAGATATTAAGCTAGTTATTCTAGTATATAGTATATAGTATATTAGTATCTAATAATCTTTTATAAGTAATTAAGCTAGAATTTTATAATTATTAAATATTTTATAAAAAATTAATGAATTACTAATAAGTTACTTTTTATTTTAATTAAGTAAAGTAAATATTATAATTTAAAATATAATATAAATAAAAAATAAATTAAAAATAAATTAATTAATAATAAAATAAATGAAGTTTATAATATCAAAATTAAAAGTTAAGAAATTAATTTATAATTTAAAATAATTTAAAAAATTAAAAGATTAAAAAAATAAGAAATTAAAGAGTTTTATATTAATATAATAATATTATTTACTAAATATTTTGAATTTAATAAAATATATTAAATAAATAATTATAAAATATTAATAAATAAAATAAAAATTA